AACTTATTAGAGTAAACCACTCAGGCAAAGAGCTGGACTATCTCAACAAAAGCAAGCTCTACTGATACAGCAATGAGACAGACAAAAGTGTAAAAGGTTTTTTTTTTGTTTTTTTTTTTTTTTTTAAAGCCTTTCTGGGCTTAGAAAGATTCCCAAAGACTTATATACATATAAAAATCTTACAAAATGTGAATCACTTATAACAGTGACCCACTGAGGTAGATTGTTAAGTGTTTTCCGAGTTACTGACCACAGCAAATAATGAAGTGTAGGAGTGAACCACACTTTTTAAAGCAACAAAGAAGCGTGATCACCACTGATCTAGCGATAACCTGTGTACTGAAGATTAAATTTACTAGGAATATCAATTAAATAATTTAGTGGCTTCGAAAACTGAAAATAGCCCTTGGTCATCTTACGAAGTTTTCTGTTTTGTTTTGATGGCATTGGTGATTGCAACCAGGGAGAGCTAAGGTGTGTCCCCAATCTTTTTCTTCCTCTCTTATTATTTTATTGTGTTTTGAGAGAGGGTCTCACTAACTTTCCCAGGCTGGTCTAGGACCTGAAATCCTTTTTGTTCCTGAGACTCCTGAGTAACTGGGATTATAGGTATATTCCACCATTCCTGAGCCTATTGAGATCCTAAAACAATTAGAACTGCTGGGCGAGTGGCTGACAAAAGGGTATGCTTTGTCACCTAGGTGCATCAGACTTCATTTATTTGTGGTTTTAGAATATTTTCTTTACTAGGGGGGTGATTACTAGTGCTTAATACAAATTAGTTATTTTTTCATGTATTTTTTTCTATGCCTCTCCGCTTTCTACTTCCCAATCCATCAGCACACCTGTTCTGTACCTTGATTGTGAGAAAATGTTAGGACTAATACCACACTGTGTTTCAGAAGACTTAATTGATTTTTACAGGAAATGACTAAAGAACCAATATTCAAAATCCTCCAACAGTTTGTAAATAGGATATCAAGTCCACAACTTGTACAGCAATTAACCACTAAGAAGAATGTATGCAGTGTGTTAATTATTGAAAACGTCCTACCGATTTGATTTGAAATTGTCTCATTGCTATTTGTTTATCAATAAAACTATGGCAAAAATAAAAAAAATTAAAATAAAATAAAATAAAAACAAATCCTAAATTATAAAGGCCATAAGAGTTATGGGACCACATCTTATAGTCATCAAAAGTAAGGAAACAAGAGAAAGATTTCCTTTTGAGCTATTTAGTAAAAAAAAAAAAAAAAAAAAAAAAAAAAAAAAAAAAAAAAAAAAAAAAAAAAAAAAAAAAGATTACAGCTGACGTTAAAAAAGTTTATTCTCCTTCACTTTTATGAAAATATTTAGCACTTATGACATCAGAGGTAGTGGACTACATAAAGTAGTTAAGTTATTATAGATGGCAAATAATGATCAAAGAGTACTTTAAAACAACAACAAAGTTGATATATTCTGATTAGCTGAGCCTGGATGTAGGTGTTTGGGGGGAGTATAAGAACCTTATAAGTTTGTTTGTTTGTTTTCTTTTGGAAAGTATGATCATAAAATTATACTTCTAAGACTCCTGCCAAAGCAAGAGGTCCTGGAAAACAAAGATCCATTCCAGTGTCCCAGGGTATAGGACCAGGCCCAGCCCACAGGCCGTGTGAAAGGATGATGGTGCCAAGGACGACAATGGCGGCGGCTAGTGCTGGAATAATTACAGTTATTAAGATGATATTTGGAAAGACAAACAGGACGTTTGGGAAGATTAAGAAAGCTGGGGTAAAAGAAAAAAACAGTAACAACTTAGTTGAACTTCAAGTGTTGAAGATCATTCTCATCAAAATGGTATGACCCAGCTATACACCACCCTCATCTACAGCAAAACACAAAAGTAACGCCTCATGGTACAGTGAGTTTGATGCTCAACAGCAAGACGACTTTATTGAAGATTAGAATGGTGGACCCTGAAGATTCATAGGTCTTTACTGCTGGAAATGTTTAAAGCAATACAAACTGTGGGTCTGGTCAAACTATATTTTTACAGGTCCAACTTTAGTCCGATCCAATTGACTTACACTAGATTAGATCTATGGAGGAATCCTTCTATGCATGCACAGTGCATTGTTACACACTAACGCAGTTGTGACTGTAATGACATCTAAATCTGACACAATTGACCAAAATTCAAGCTTCTGCAATGCGTTTCCTCTAAATGAAAGTCTGCAATAAAAGCTATTTTACAATAACAAAAAAAAAAAAAAAAAGCCTCCAACAGTCCAGACGTGGTGGTACATGCCTGTAATCCCAGTGCTGGGGAGGCTGACAATTGAAGGATCATTACA